CTCAGGCAGTGATGGTAAAATTCCACAAGTTTTCGTTCATCTTTCACGCACATAGCCCAACTTTCACAGCCAGACTAACAGAACGGATACATGGTACATGCGAAACGTTGTGGCGATGGGGACATCGCGTCGGATCCATAGGTTCTTTCAAAGGTTTGGGAAATCTCGAAGGGCAGTATCGATTCGGAAGACAATGTCGTCTTTACTCTTTGCATTCAACCACAACCTCAATGCCAGGTGTTTGAAACTGTCTACTTCTTCAAGTTGACAGCCACCAATCTCGAACGTGTCTTCCCATAGGGCAGGGATGCAGCATGCTAGCACTGGTCTTTTCAGCGTCTATGGACAACCTGATCGATTTAGCCGCATAATTCACCCTTGAAACCATGGACTGCAGATTACTGAAGCTTGAAGCTAGTAAGGCGATATTATTGGCATAGTTGAGATCAGTCTGCCGATCTTCGGGTGCAAGTTCAACACCGTCCTTTTGTGTGGGCTACTGTGCTCGACATAAAAATGTCCTACTTTCGAAAGATCAATGACTGGAGGGGTCCAGTCCTCTGATGTGCTTCGGCAGTTGGTTGGTCTATGCCTGTCATAAGTCGTTCTGCTCTATCTATAAAGCGAATGTAATAAATACAGACAGTCTTTTGTGAGAATTACTTGCTATTTGTTAATACAACTCTGCTTGTGGTCGATTGACTGTTGTTAGCTTTGAGAACACGTACCACGCTACTGTTTTTTTGAAATTCTTAAGCACTCATGCCAAAATTATGGCTTGGAGTTTCGACTTGTGTGTATGATTTCAGTCTTTAGGTATGCTTCTGGTAAGGAACAAAACCTCAAAGGCAATGTCATGACATTTTTATTTTTAAATTCTTCCTGTTTTCCAGGAGTGCGTGGGGGCTTTTGAAACTGACCGTGTCTTCATGTCTACCTAGTCGTTCTGGCCTGGAGGTCATCAAACTCCCTCGAAGCTCCAACATGACGTTTACAGACCAGACAGAGATTTTCTCCGAAATTTTGGCCTCAAAACTCTTTCCCTCCTATGAACTTTTCCGCCAGGCATTGGAACTCTTCACAAAGGTGAGCAGCCAGCCCAGTACTGAGTCACTACCTGCCCGCCTAGATCACCGGCAGTAAGTTTGCCAAGGATAAGACCAGTCTGTATCGGCCTGGCTCCTTGAATCGTGACAGCCTGGTCTACCGGTCGGCAGAATTCAAGTGCTCCTCAAAATGTGAGGCCTGTTTTATCCTTGGCTGTAAGAAAAGACGCCTGTTTGTCAAAAGGTATCACATGGTGCACAACCACAGTGTCGCTGATTATCAAGCAACCCCTCAGCCAGTTGTGGAAATTCCCGAAGGTGAGCCTCCTCCTCTCTGTTTCTCACCCTCTTACCCCTCTCTTTTAGTTTGTGACGATCAACATGTTGATTTGACCGTGCATTTTAACGCTCACTTTCCGTCTCTTACGTTTGCCAGCTACGATGACTTGATGGAAGCCCTGGCGAGCTTCCAGAAGGCGACCGGTAGTGTCTATGTGAAGAAGTCAGTACACAAATGGCCAATTGGACACGCAAACAGTAGAGATCTTGTTTACTCGACAATATGCTTCCAATGCGTTCATTATGGTAATTTTTTCAGCAGCGCTCGGAAGCCGCGAAATCACAGGTAAGATGGACTCAGTGGCCGCACACACACATAATCTAGGTCGAAAAAGATTGGTTGTCTGTCTGCCATTCATGTTTCTTCTACGCAGAATAAACTGCATATATCACGTTTTAACATGCGACACAATCATCTCGTTTCGCCTACGAGCGTCGTGCCTTTCCGCCGCAAGGAGCCCACCTGCGTGCCAGCTAAGAATTGCGGGTTACCATGTGCGTCTGCTGCCAACGGTTAGTCTATATTTTCTCCTCATATGTTTTCTGCTAAAGAAGACGCTTCTCTGAATCATTCCGCTCGGCCGTTGAGTGAGTACTTTGGAGAGATAGTTGACGTGGACCATTCAAAATCGCAGGAGGCATCACCTGTACCAACCTCGGGAGTCGTCGGTATGTCCTACTCCCCACCACCGCTATCCAAGGCGGATTACTACGAAGGCTCACAGCGACTGACGTCTGTCGAGCCTCTGTTACAGTGTATTCGCGGGATCCTTGTTAGATCCGACAGCCATATCTTTGAAAAACGGACATCTGATCTTCGTCTTCTTGTACGCAGCTGGGAAACAGCCCCGGCCGTAGACTCGAGGCGTAGACAATGCCGACCTAGTCGATGAAGACCGATACCCCCATCTTCACCACGCCTCTGCTGTTTCCTTTTGTTTTCCCTCATTCTCCTCTTTATCGATCCTACTGTTTTGATCCATTCTACAGACCCTCCTTCATCCCCTTCGTATAGAATTCCTTCTTTGGGCTGTAAAGGCTCACAGTGTGTATAGTTATTACTGTGTAAATATGTATATATTAAGATATTGGCATCCCAAAAGATATACTTGCTAACAAGGAAGTTATTTGGGGACGAATAATGTTGATTGTGTACATTTTTGAGTGTTGTCTCCCAGCTCGTCGACCGACAGAGGAGAAATGTATCAACGCACTTAACGTAAAACGATGCACAAGGCCAAATTCTATGGTTGACCGGAGTGGAAGCCTATAGGCGTCACCTGAATTCAGGTATCCGGTTGATGCTGGCTGTCTGTACTTCCACCTGACCTTCAGAAATTTGTACTTGACATCTAAATTGATATGTCCGTTAATGCATCCCTCGTCTGAGTGCATTACCTCTAGGAATTTGCGGTCCTTCCTAGTTGTGCAGGCGCAAACTATCTTGGTTTTC